CCGAAAGCTATCGAGGTCGTAGCGGTAAATGCAGCATTCAAGAGACACTTCTTGCATGGGTGCAGGAATCTGCCTCTCCAGCCAAGCCCCATCTATGGGCTCTACAGACCTTAGCACCGTCAGCTTTGCAAAATGCTCTGTTAGAGTTTCCCAAGACCTTTGCCAAAAGAAACGATCCCCTTGTCCCCAACACGACACTCTACACCTACACACACACACAAACAAACACCAAAAGCCCCAGACGTGGACCCCCCAAACTGCAAGCTTCGCCGGGATCGGCACATCATGGTCTTCTCCTTGCAGCCGTTGAAGCTGGACCAGGCCTGTGCCAACTGCTTCGGATTTTGGGCTGGGCTTGGGGCTTAGCAGCTTCATATGGATAGGCTTTTGGATCCGCCGGGGGTGAGTGCAAAAACAAAGGACACAGCATGGACGCTTTCATTTTCGGATATCCTGACTGTACATCGATCTTGTTGCCTCCTCCACACAGACTCAATGTAACCACAGTTTCGGGCTGCGCCTGCACCGCAGAGGGGACAGACTCCCCCCAATAGGCGGGACCGCCACCGAAGAAGGGATTCACCGAATCCTGCTCGTCCTTGGTCCGATCTACTGCAACAGGCGGCAAGCGAAGAACGAAGGGAACATCAGACCCCAAAGTGGAAATATCGTCACGTACCTATGCCAAGATGGTTGCAATAGGCCTCAGAAAGACTTGTTGGACGTTACCGAGGGCGGTGCCACTGCTCCTCCTATTGATCGATCCAAAGCTGCCTGCTGTTCGTGTTGCTGCCGTGACTTCAGCAACCGCAGCAGCTGGCGCTGCACATTACCATTGAACTACTGCTACTCATACTGCAGCAACAACTTGCTAGTCACTCGCACTGCAATTGCTAAGCACTGCTACTGTAGCTAGCTATAGTTGCAACAGCTACAACATTGCTGCTATGTCAGCACGAGCATCACTACAGCTATGATATTTCTCAGGTTTGTTTATGCGCATCAATAGTGCCACATTTCCGTTTGGCAGCTGCAGCAGTTTGGAAGAGTGTCAAGCAGCAAAGGAGCCGTTGCAGTAGCGTTGCTGGCGAGATCCGGGCTCCCCACGTGGATGCTGACAACTGGCAGCGGCTGGGAGGCGTTGTTCGGCCTGATCACAACGTGATAATGTAATAGTTGACAAGATCCCTCATGACTTCCTGAACCTTCAACAATAGATTGAATCCGCAAATTGAAAAACCATCCCCCCCAATAACATAAATACGTATCATACATATTTCGGTGTATGTGTGTATAATATACAATATGCTTTTCTACAGATATCTACAGATACATAATACATATAAATGTATGTACATACCCACATACCTTCATACATACATACAGCCAGCCAGCCAGGCATAAGTTTTTTCTCTCTACACCCATACTCCAACAACATATTAGGTTTGTTTCTCTATACACACCCATACTTCGACCTCCCGGCAAGGAGAACTCAAAAGCCGTGCGCTGCTTGGAGGGGCAGGGGACTTAGTAAGTAGCGTATAAGTACCCTAAATGGAGTTACCCCAATTATAACCCTGCTTATATAACCTACTTACTAAGTCCCAAAAGCCCCTCCAAGTGCCCTTAGAGATCCCTTATAGTAACCCTGATAGACCCCTTTAAAGGAACCCTATAGATTCCTTTGAGGAACCCTATAGATCCCTTGAAGTCCCAAAAGCTCCTCCAAGTGCGGCCTTGGAAAGCGGAGGCCCCCGTTGACGAGGAGACCCCGGAGGCCTGGCAGCTCCGACCTGGGGGGCATCGAGAGTGGCTCCTTTAAGGGTTTGAGGGTTCAGGGTTTTGGGGGTTTAGGATGGTTTAGGGGTTTAGGGTTTAGGGGTTTAGGGGTTCTGGGGTTACTGTGTTTAGGGTTTTGGGGTTTTGGGGTTTTGGGGGTTCAGGGTTTGGGGGTTTGGGGTTTAGGATTTTGGGTGTTTAGGGTTTTGGGGTTTAGGGTTTAGGGGTTTAAGGGTGTAGGGGCTTAGGGCTCATAGTTGCGGCTTAAGGGTTCTAGTCTTCGGCACCTGTGAGAGTTCTAGAAAATAAGGGCTGTGTTTAGGGTTAGTACGTCTAGTCTGAATAGGGCTCCTTTAGTCTAGTTTCGTAACAGAAGTCTTCGTAGGGGCAGTATAACGGTCTTGATAGGGTTGTCGTGAGGGGCCTCTCAAATCGATTAGGCTGAGGTCCCGTTCCGGCTCTCGTGCATGTCTTTGGACGAACGCAGGGCTTCGTCCAAGCTGACCGAAGATGGGAGGGCACGCCCTGTGATGACAATGGGCCACCGCAGGGCCCTCTCAGGTTGAGTCACCCTGGCTCTGGAGATTGGCCACACATGGACCGATCTGTGAGAATATGGAACAAGCTTTGACTGACTGAAATAAACGATTTAGTGTGTATATATATATATATATCTCTCTCTCTCTCGCTCTCTCTGTCTGCTCTGTTGATTACTGTTGAGTCACAACATGCAGCAATCATGGATCAGAGAAGCAGCAAAAGAAAGAAACTGCACCTCGCTGCAGTAGCTCAAAGTGTCTGCAAGGCCCCCACGCCAGGCGCGAGCAGAAGCGGGCTCCCCGCGATGAGCCTGCAAAGGAATCGAAGACACCCGGACCAAGGCCCGAAGCTGCATCGAAACAACAATAGTGATAGCACTAGTGATAGCTAATAATGCTGATGGCGATAGTGGTAGCGGTCGGAGTAGTAGTCGCAGTCGTCGTCATTGCAGGTATCATTCATCAAAAGACAGGAAAAGAACTTGAAGTGCGTGTCTTCGGCTTTGCAACTTGCACTTTGGAGCCTGGCAGTGCCAGGCCGGGTTTCCCAGTCGCAAGTGAAAAGTGCATGGAACCGCTAGAGTAACTCAGGGCCGGTGCCTATGCAGTAGATGTTCTGCATGTCGATGCAGGCTCCTGCGAGCAGAAGACAGTTTCGGTGTGATAGGAAAGTTCCGTAATTCGGAGCCCTTCAGCTGCTGTCGAGAAGCTCCCCCTTGCGTCGGCTAGCACGGCCTGGGTGTAGCCTGACATGGGTGGGAGGAGCTATGGAGGCTGGTAATGTAGGGGCCTTGAAGTAGAATAGGGTTTTGAGGCCCATTGTACCATAATTACAACAAGGAACCCCCAAAATAGTATAAGCAATTGCTTAGGCCCCTATAACAAAACTTCTCGCTGCCGGCGGGCGGCCAACATCGTCGGGCCGTGAGGGGTCTTCCTGGGCGTGGGCGACCACGTTTAGCGCAAGATCCTAGGCAAGGAGCTCACGTCTCCCAAAGGGCGAGTCTGAAAAAGAGCTGTCGCAGCAACTGAGGCTCCGGCGAGGCCTTCCAAAACAAGAAGGGCCACGGAATGCTTCTTTGCAAGACCTCGGCACTGAGGGCAAAGCGAAGCTCCACTCCTTTGCCTCAATGTCTTCTGAGGGGCTCATGGTGTCCGTCAACGACAGCATGCCTCGGCTTACAAATAGGGGAGTTTCCGAAAATAGGGGACCCTAATATAGTACCCTAAATAGTAGGATCCTTATTACAAGGATTATAAGCTCACATGCCGGAGCCTGTTCCACCAGTCACAATCACAACGATACAGAAGAACACAGAGTCAAAAGGCAGGTCAAAGCTGTTTGGCCGCCACACGAAACGCAAGGAGTGGTTGGCTCTAGTTACGACTCGATGATTGAGATCCGAGTTGACTGTGGTTTAAGCATGATACCTATAGGTAGTAGACGGAGGTCATACCTTACAGTTGAGACCTCTGGATTGAGCTTGAGTGAAGAACAGAAGTGAGGTGCGGTCACGAGGCTTAAGGCGTCCACTCCCGTCCCCGGGCTAAGGATCCACACGGGCCAGGGCTTCTTCTCCTGCCAATAGAGGTGTTCAGGTACGGGACCTCCCGAATGAAAGCATGCCGTTGTCAGTCCAGCAACATGGGCAATTATCTGACAGGATGCTTCTGCTCAGCTTCTCGCAACATGCAAGCCAACACACTGATCTTCGAGAACTGGCACAGTACTACCGTTACAATTACAAGAAAGCAGCATTGCAGAATCACGCAGGCACGTTGTCCTCGGAAGGTACCTTAGGCCAACACATGGCAAACAGAGTATATAGTCGCTCCCACCGTGCACATCCTTGCCCAACGGTCTCGGTAGGCCAATGGCATAGAGGAAGTAAAGGCGCTCCGAACCATCGTGTTGCCTGAGCCAATCAGTCACTGCCAACTTCTTTCATTGTGTTTGTCGGTTACGCGGGCATCAACCGAGGGTCACAGTCCTGAGGGCCACGCAGCCGGCGGATTTCAAGCTCTGTCTCGCGGGGAGGATATGTGGCCTGGCAAAGTCGCAAGGTCACAGCATCCACGGCAAGAGGGCACTCAGTTTCCGCGAAGATAGCTCTGCCCCAATGCACCTGGCACACCAGTTCCACACAGGCGCCGAGCCGCACCAGCAGCAGAAAGCCAAGGCTCCACATGCACGCAGTATAGCAGGCACTTAGAAGCACATGGTTCACCTGGATTTCACTGTTGAGAAGGCTTGAAATCGCGAGACATGATCACAACCCGTGTCGAGGCTGGAGTTCGACCCCATCTTCGAATGCTTTGCTGAATTCTCTAACGGCTGCAGCATGGGACAGGGAATCACTGCCACAGAAGTAGCCTTTGACGGCTTTGGTCAGAGCGTCCGCGCTAAGTTCGTTAACGGCGCCCTGCTCGTGCGACAGTTCACCGTGCTAGATGCCTGCATGCCGTGCTAAATACTCTGGGTCGAGTCTTTCTTTGCCAGCTGGCAGTCACAGCCTATATATATATATATATATAGAGAGAGAGAGAGAGAGAGAGAGTATACCACAGTATACCATAGTATAGCATAGTATATTCTCGTACATTAGAGTGTATTGCACGAGGTAACTTAGGCTACTTCGAGTACACCTGGAAAGAGGATGTCAGATGCACTTGGGCCGTGGCAAGCACAGCAGCATGTGGCTCCTCCCTCAAGGCCTGCATGGGAATGCACAGCTTGCGGTGCGCTACTAGTGTACTGCTACTCCTACAGTATGACCATCACACAAGATCTTTTCCGAATACTGTCTCCCTTTTGCAGCTCCACCAAGAAAGAGCATGTCATGTTACTCCATGATGCTTTTCACATTTCTCTCACTGTGGCACTGATTCGGTGACAGCTCAAGCTGCGGAGATAAATCCGGAGTCTGACTCATGTCGTGCTTCTCCTGTTGCGGTTGACCGGGAATTTCTGTGCATGTGTGTGGCTTCACTTGAATCCAGCGGGTGCCGCGCCGTTAGCACATCTGCCAGCACCTCTTCAACTGGTAGGCCGAAAGCCTGAGACTGCCAATCTACTTCGGACCCGAGCTAGGAAATCGAGGGTTTTTTATTTTTGTGTTTGAGCCCTCGTGTCTTTTCACCGCAAGGCATCCAGACTACCGTACCGGCTGAGGGATGGGAACTCCATACGATCAGCAGCAATGGAGGTTCGGTGTCTAGGCTTTGGCCAGTATAGGCGACATCGTTCTTAGCCAGAGCTCTAGCTGCACTAGCACTCTTACCACGCTGCCGACCTCAATGCCGATGCCGAAAGTCGCCACAAGCATTCTGCAAGGAGACTACCTGCGATCAACCAATGAAGACCTCACAGCCACGCAAGCCTGCAACTCTACCTCAACCCCAAACCCAGGGAAGCTAGGCATCTCACCCACCGTTCTCGGGAAGACCCTCAGAGCCATACCGCAAACTCCAAACAACCTTAAACCAAAAAAACTCAAATCCGATGAACCCCAAATCCAAGGAGCCTTCCGTGACAGCCGCGCCAGGCGCTGGCAGCTGCAAGCCGAGACAAGCCTCGGGTTTTATGTAGGGGCCTCAATCATTAGAGTAGGGCTCCTTCAAAGGGGTCTATAAGGGTTACTATAAGGTATCTAAAAGGGCACTGTAATATAGGGGCCTTAATAAAGTAGTAGAATAGGGTTTGGGGGACCATTGTGCTATAAGTATAGTAAGCACCCCCAAAAATACTTTAGGTAATTATTAAGGCCCCTATAGTACATGTCCGGCTTTTGTTGAACGCCTTGTCCCCTGACCTAGACATCCCTGCATGTTGGGTTGAGGGTTTGCGGCTTCAGGGTTAAGTACAGCTACGGCCTTTGTCTGGCTCTGGATTTAAGGGTTTCGGGCGGAGAGTTTAGGGTTTAGGGTCTAGGATGTAGGGCTAAAGGCAAAAGCAAGTCGAGACTTTCGACCCGACCATAGGGTTCAGGGGTCACCCTATGCTTCAGCTCTACTGATTCAGGGCTTGGAGGGTTTCGGGGGTCTCCCAGCCGTGCAGGAGAGCAGCGAGGGCAAGACCCATCTTGCCCGGGATCGCGGATCGTTGGCCCTCCGTGGTGCCCTGAGTGTTCGAGATGGGGTTTGCCTTCCCTCCCGTCGTCTACCGCCTTGACTCTGTGCACTTTCTCTTTTCCTGACTTTCATTTCGCCTGAACTGGAAGAGAATTTCCTTATTCCTCGCGCCAGCCTGCGCTGCGGGGGACGTGCCGCAAGCTGCAATTGCAAATTGCCTGCAGCTCTGTCGCAGAGTGGCTGAAGGGGCCTGGGTCTTCCTGCTCCCGTGAGAACTGACTAGAAGCTACGGTATGCCGTCTGCCTAAAGCTGAGGCAGTTTGGGGAAGGCTTCAAGACTTACTGTAAACGCAACAGCATGCCTGTGGCCGGCAGCACGGCCCTCAGCGCCATCAGGTAGCGCGCATGCGATGAGGCGTCCAACTGAGTTGCAATGTTCCAGATCCATCAGCTCAGACACAAAAAGAATATCCAAACACCCAACTGAAGTATGGCCTTCTTGCGACTCACGGGTTGTGGTTCTGTGCGGCAAGGAATTTCCGAGTGCTTGGTTCAATAGCTTCGACGGCTGTGCAAAGAGCCAAATCCTTCACTCGCAGGTCAACGGTAAATACATCACAACACCGGGCTGAACAGTCGAAGCTTTTTCGCAAGGTTCTTACAGAATCCGACTGCAGAATGGAACCCCTGTTGCTTCGTTTTTTGTAGCGAAAAGATCGATGCGAATCGGTCTTGCAACCAATTGGCGGCACCACTGGGGTCTTGCGCGCTCGGCGCTGCGCCAGCCGTGCTACACTGCACAGCCCGCAGCAATAAAAGTGCTTCAAGCCTGCTACTGCTCAGCAAGGCGGCGCTCCCCCTTACGGGGTCTCAATACTTAGAATGGGGTTTTCAGGTATTTATAATATTACTGTCATAAGGACCTCCGCCTCCCCCCCCCCAAAAAAAAAATATATATATATATATATACATAGGTAAAGATTCAGGCCCCTATATTACTGGTATGCGTCTTGACGAGACAGAAGGCTCGGTACCCGGTACCCAACCTTGATTCAACTATGCTCAAAAAAATCCGGCAGCTGGAACTTTATGCTGTGCGTGAAGACCTTCTCGTGGAATTGTTTATCTCTTCAGGCTCGCGGCAAGGGATTTGCCGGATACTTATTATAAAGACCCCCGGCCGAGCAGGAGCACGCCAAGTCTAAGGAATAGGAGGGATCTCCTGGTGCGTCGGTGGCTTCCTGGACATCTTCTGGTCTTTTTGTCTCCCGTGTTTGCCCGATGGCCACGGCAAGCCAACGATAAACTATACTCTGCTATACTCTACTCTAGACTCTACCAGGCCTTACAGTAAAATTTACAGCCCGGGGATGCTCAGGAAACGAGAAGCCTGGCTTCATAGCGGCAGGCTCAAGTTCGAGGTCGACGAGCCTTGAGCCCTGACATTCCGAAAGGCGGGCTTGGGGGTTGGAATGTAGTGTTAGGAGTTTGGGGGCTTAGGGGCTTCGGGGCTTTAGGGTTTAGCGAGTCTGGTGCTTGGGGTTTAGGGATTGGGGTCGGGTTAGTGTTTGGGGTTTTGGGTTGAGCTGGTCAACGTCCCTGGTTCGCTTTTATTTCGGCGGACATCTGTAGCTTCGGCTCATCGACACAAGCATTATCGGCTCAAGCTACGGCTCAGGGACAATCACCTCCTCATCCAGTCGCCCCGCGGCAGTCTAAGAGAAAGAGATCCCGAAAAGGAGAAGGCAAAGTTACTGCTGTTGCAGCGGAAGTAACTTTCAATTTCAAGTCGCACGTCGTATCTTACTCCCTGCTCGCCGGGGACTCAATGCAGCTGATCATCTCCCAAATTGCCCTAGCCTACAAGCATCGGGCGGTCACACGTACTGAATCTTTGAGCACGGTGCTAGACTTCCGAAGCTGCGGGTGGAAGACAGTCAACTCTGAATGTCATGCTGACCACTGATCCCGACCGGAAGACTATACATCTCTCGCTCGCTCGCTCTCTCTCGCACTCTCTGTCGCAGGGCTTAGTCTCTTGCCTTCTTCTTCTCTCGGGCAGAACGGGCGTGTCAGACTCTCTTTCTTGCTTTCCCCCCCTGCGGAGGCATGCCTCAATCCCCTCAGGCCCTCAGGTACGATACACACACACACACACACACACACGCACTCTCTCTCTCCCTCCTTCCGCTCAGCGAAACTCGCCCCCAACCTGCACGCAGCTGGTCTCTTTGGTCCGAAGGTCTTGCCGGGTCATCTGCGGAAACCCCTCCGAACTCGAACGCTAGTACCCAAACCAAGTCTCCCTTACTAAGATTGCAACCCTCTGCTTCCTCTTTCCATTTTTAATGTACTCTGTATATATACATATTAAAGCATATATACCAAATTATATCACATCTTTGGTTATGTTGTATTATACTACGTACATTCCAGTATGCTTTCTACTATACATTATCTTACATCTCTCCTCTCCATTGCTCTCTGTGCAACCACTGCTTCCCCACTGCAGCTTCGGATAGGCAGACGTCGAGGCCCGGAGTCGCGAGGGAATCGAAGCAAAAAAAGCGGGCATCCACGACATCTTGAAGCTCCTGTGCAGGCGATTTAGGGTTTAGGGTTTAGGGGCTGAGGGTTTAGGGAGTATCCGCCGCGATTGCGATGGATAGTGGTACGAGATCATCGTCGTAAGAGACTATGTGATGCTGATGCACATGGTGATGTAGATGCTGACGGTAGCGGTGATGGTAACGACGATGATGATGACGATAAGCGTGAGGGTGATAATGACGATGATGATTATGATGGTAACGGTGATGATGGTGATGGTGAAGTTGACAAGCATGGTGAAAAATCAACCGAATATTGACCATCGTCGTCCTTATGATGACGGTGGGTCGTCATCGTTGGTGCCACTCTGAGCTCAGCTGATCATCATCACCATTATAGTGTTAATCACCACCATCATCATACCATCAGCTTTCAGCTTGAGTTCGGATACGAGCTCTGCAGAATGGTCCAAACGAACCGAAGGGTTGCTGCCAGATGGTACTATGAATAATGCCACAGAATACCATGCCACATGCTACGGGACCAGAGCCGATATCCCTCCTGCTAAAGCACGTCGCAACTTTCTTCGGAATCTCGCTGCCATTGTCGTCTGCTCCGCTTTGTCGGAGTCGCAAACTTCTGCCATTAACTTGAGGGCCACGCCCTCATTCTACCCAGGCCATGCCAGCGGCCACCAAGTCAGAAGCACGTACCAGAAAACTTGCGAAGTCTTGCAACACACAATCTTTGAACGCTACCTTGCTCCATGCTTGGTCTGCCGTGCGACACGGTAGCTCATTAGCTCGAAGCGATGGACATCTAGCGCGCTGCCAGCTCGTCACACATATAATCCAGAACGAGAGGCTCGTCGAAGGCCCTGTGCATTGCGTTAGTATATCATACCACAGAATATCTTATGGTATATTTTGCTATGACATAACATACTTTCTACTAGTTATATCTCATATCATACCTTCTCTTGAACTTTATCTTGCACTGTACTACGTTGTTCTATGTAATGTTCGGTATGTCAGCCCGAGATACCGGCCGAAGGTCCGGCTGCTAAGCCGCGGGGAGGGTCCTGCGAGCAGAGCCAGCAACTCAGAGTCTGGCCAAGAATAACCCTAAAACCCCAAAACCCTAAACCCTAAACCCTAAACCCTAAACCCTAAACCCTAAACCCTAAAACCCCAAAACCCTAAACCCTAAACCCTAAACCCCTAAACCCTAAACCCTAAAACCCCAAAACCCTAAACCCGCTTAGGTTCAAAATCAAGGCTTGAGGCTCAAAACTAGCTAGGGCTTGGGGTTCAAAAGTTGGGTTTTTTGGAGTTTAGGAGGGTTCGAAGGTAGGCTTTGGGGTTTAGGGCTTAGGGCTCAAAGATAGCCTTTGAGGTCTTAACAACGAGCACCACCGTCATCTTTGCAGCCAACACAGCTGCTATGGCTCTGAGAGAGCATCGTACTGCATGGCTTCTTTTCTCGCCACATCAAACCAAGCAAGGGCGGCAAAATCTCACTGATGCGCCAACACCCTAAAGACAAAAACTCGACACCGAGGTCACAACAGCAATAGCACAAACACAAACACTGATCGCAACGATATCAACAACAACGACAAAGATAATGACAACAACGACAGAAGCAGGAGCAGCAGAAGCAGTAGCCCCATCAGTTCTCTTAGCATCTACAATCCCGCAGAAGGGCCTGGTTGCGGGCCTTGGGCTGCTTAGCTGCCACCAGGAAGTCTTCACGCCGAGCCTCGGACAGGAGCTAAAAAGGGCTCAACAGTTTTGTCGTAGTCCTGGTGGAGTGATTCCGATTCCTATGTCAGCGTCACTTCGGTTGATGATATAAATCCCGTATTACCTGAACGACCCTAGACTATGGGAATTATGGCATATTCCTTATTATGGGTAATGCAGGATTTACATCATCAACCGCTTCACAATAACCGTGTCGGAGAAGTCGGAGTCTGGGAATCTACGCGACCTTCCCCTTCCCGCATCCAAGGACTCTAAGATGCCGACCCGTGCAAGTCGCACCAGAGGCCGTGGGATGGCCATCGAAACTGACAGCTTCTAAGGCCAAGTGCAAGTTACAAGAATAATCACAACAATAACAATAGCAAGAAGAAGTACAAATGTCACTACTACTACTACTACTACTACTACTACTACTACTACTACTACTACTACTACTACTACTACTACTACTACTACTACTAACTACTACTACTACTACTACTACTACTACTACTACTACTACTACTACTACTACTACTACTACTACTACTACTACTACTACTACTACTACTACTACTACTACTACACTACTACTACTACTACTACTACTACTACTACTACTACTACTACTACTACTACTACTACTACTACTACTACTACTACTACTACTACTACTACTACTACTACTAACTACTACTACTACTACTACTACTACTACTACTACTACTACTACTACTACTACTACTACTACTGCTACAAGTACTAGTACTAGTACTACTACTACTCCTCCTCCTCCTCCTCCTCCTGCTGCTGCTGCTGCTGCTGCTGCTCCTTCTGCTGCTACTACTTCTAGTACTGCCACTTACGACCACCACGCACAATGCATATTGGAGGTTCACGAAGCTTGGTTCTTCGCTCGGGTTCAGGTAGGCAGAGTCATCAGACAGCTTCCCAAGGGCCCTGACCCATACAAGTACAGGGACCTCGCACAGGTGCACAGATCTGCCGGAGCTTAGCTTAACACGAGAATGCTTGTAGCCACAAGATGCTACCAGTACGGTTGGAGGAGCAGATGCGTGCCTGCCAATGCCCCGGCCGAGCTCTCGATGGGCTCCGGGGCCTACCAGCCGTGACAGCACAGCACTGCAATTCAAGGCTTCGGGGCACATGATGGAAACTTCGCTTTTCCGACCCGCGGGCGCCCTCAGCGTCGGTTATGCTCGTGCTTAAAGGATCATGGGACTCAGTAGCTAGGTTTAGTATTGGGGTAACTATCCTTATAAGTACTTATAACCCCAATTGAGGGACTTATAACCATAATTACTTACTAAGTCCCATGATCCTCCAAGTCTAAGTGGCCACTAAAGCTTCGATGGAATGCTTTTCCTGGACACATGCGGGGCAATAGGATTGCCGCTGTCGCGTTCTGCAACGGCCGCCGCGAAACCTGCGGTTGCGGAACGCTCCTTAAACCACATGCCCTCCGGGGAGTGCCGGGTAACACCATCAAAGAGTGTAGCTAGTCGCTGAGTCGACATCATGCTGGCTTCAATGCTTTGATTTACCACCATCTTCTGCATGATCAGTTGATTTTTTGGAACACTCGACGCACGGCGTGCAAGCTCCAAGGTGCGTTCATCCAGTTTGTCTGACGGGACGGACTCCAAAACCAGTCCCATTCGGGCTGCTTCGACACCCGTGATCAAGTCGCCCGTTAGCAGCATCCTCTTGGCTTTTTCAGGACCTAACCTGTAGGCCCACATGGCCGTTGTGGGGCAGCCCCACACCCGGGCAGGAGGATAGCCGATCCGTGCATCGTCGGCCATCAAAACAATGTCGCAGCAAAGTGCGATGTCGCTGCCGCCAGCAACGGCAAAACCATGAACTTTACATATCGTTGGCTTCAAAGAGGTCCACAAGGACATGAAGTTCCGTGTATTCGCCCACATGAACTTAAAATCAACAGTGGGGTCCCAGGGCATGTCCTGGTTTGGGGAAGCCTCGGCACCAACCGGCGAGCCCTCTGAATATTGTTTGAGGTCATAGCCAGAGCAAAACGCCCGCCCTGAGCCCTGCAAGACGATCACGTGCACGCTATCATCTTCGTTCGCGCGCGCCACGCATGCTTCTATTTCTCTGGGCATGTGATCGTCGATCGCGTTCAGCCTTTCCGGACGATTCAGCGAGATTGTGGCAATCCGGGATGCTGCATCAACGTCGTAGCTCACGCTTCGAAGAGCCATGGCGAAGCGAGCGAAGCAGAGCGATCAAAAACCGAGAGGGGCACTGGCTACAGGACGAACCGCGGCAGCAGGACAAATAGCTCCCAGGAGTCTAGACAAGGCTGAGTTTCGGAAAAGAGGGGACCCCAGTGGGATCCTTATTATAAGGACCACAAAATAATAAGGTACCCCTAATTTTCGGAAACTCCCATTTGATGCGTCGCTGGTGATCTTCACCTACAGAGTTTCAAGCCACCCTGCCAGGCCTCTCCAGGGCTGAAGCGCGTCATCTTGAAAGGCATCACGGGAAGCATCTGAGCACAGAATCTTCTGCGAGCTGAGCGCTGAGGTCTGCGTGATCCGACCACTGCTCCAAAGCAAGATTACACTGGAAATGAGTGCACGGCATCAAAGTCCAGCTTTCCGTCTTTGCCCTGATAGGCTGATAGGGTCCCACCGGCGCACAAGAATAGAGCTTTCTTGCCGCAGTCTCCGCACCTTTGGGAGTTTGTAGTTCTCGACCATCACGTGGGGAGCCTGGGGCGGGGCAATTCAAAGCCGAGGCGGGGAAGGCATCAGTCAACTGCCCCTCAAAAAGCACCTCTTCAGCCAAACGATGGGAACATGGGCTACGATGCTGCTCTCCGAACAATCCATCCATGAGGGCATTCGATCGACTCAGCTTCTCAAGAGCCGAAGAGTTCTTCGTACGGTCCCTTACAATCTCCAAAAACACCTGCTGGCACTCAAGACAACCCCGGCTCCTGGTTCTGATGAGTTTGATTTTGTCCACCATTGTCTAAGCTGAGTTTGCGATAATATGATCCCCAGACCCAGACCTGCTCTGCCGTCCAGACCATCTTCACGTCGTCGTACCCTCAGCATCCGTGCGACGTACTCTGCACTAAGACGCACAACTGAGAAGTACTGGAGGGCGCCAGGTGGAAGTGGTCTGCGGCCCCTAAACCCTAAACCCCTAAACCCCAAACCCTGAATCCCCAAACCTGAGGCGTAAGGATTCATCCGGGGCCAAAAAGGGCTCCGGGCACTAAAATCCGGGAGCCCTGCGGTGGACTGGGAGGATGGTCTTGTCAGACCTGGATCGGGCTAATATCATGTGGTCTTACACATTTATTACATACATACATATAAATATATATATATATATGTATGTATATATATATATATATATATATATATATATATTTGTATACATATACATATATATATATATATATATATATATATTATACATATCACAACATATTATGTATATATGAGCATGTGTATATATATATATATATGCACATACTATATAATCTTATCTAGTCGACCATAAGGGCCCAAATCGCCTGCGCAGGGCAGGAATATTGTAGGCCCCAGCACCCGCCATGGGTGCGTCTGCCGGCTACGGGCAAGCAGTGCATAGCGGCAAGTGTGCCATGCACAAGCTGGGCATTCAGGTTTTGCATTCACCCGACATGATGGCGATCATGGACGCAAAGGACACACTGTGTAAGGTGACTTTGTTGAGCATTCGTTCGGAGGACATGCTCGCAGACCACACAGCAGATGAGTTTGCAACTGGCTTCAAAAAGAGGCCGGCTTTTCAGCTGCGCGGCATCAAGCAGAACAGAGGCTCGTCATGCGAGGGAGAATGGATCACCAAGCGGCAACCTAGCAGCTCATGCCCTTCACCTGTTGCGATGGTGTTTACGGGTTCGAAGGACATGCTGTGCAGAGTGGCCATATTGAACATGGGCTGGGAGGACTCGCTCGCACCACTCACCATAAAGGAGTCTGCGACTGGCTTCAAGAAGTCGCTGGCTTTCAGGCCGCACGGCATCAAGCAGAGCAGAGGCTCGTCAGGCGATGGCGTTTGCACCACCAAGCGGCAACCTGGCAGCTCATGCACTTCACCCGATGTGATGGTGTTTATGGGCTCGAAGGACATGCTGTGCAAGGTGGCCATGTGGAACATATGCGTGGAGATGGTTTGGAGGACAATGCTCGCACACTTCACCGTGATGGCTGCCATCAAGAAGACGCCGGCTTTTCAGCTGAGAGGCATCAAGCAGAGCAGAGGCTCGTCAGGAATTTGCGGCTGGCTGCATGAAGACGTCGGCTTTCCAGCAGTGCGCCATCAAGCAGAACAGAGGCTCGTCAGGCCTTCGATCTAATGACGCTGACTCCGCTATCCTGGCTTAGCAGTTCCTGATCATGTAAGTGAGTGATGCTGGAACGCTTTAGATTTGCGTGTGGAGGTCCTATGGCCTTCATGCTATGGTTGAGTTTGATGTCCCGATATCACCTCGATGAAGGTGTTAGACATCCTGGGTATTGTAACCGTGTAGGAATGGCCTCAGCTGATACCCATGAGGAAGATCCTGCACGTCTTGGGTCCGATATGTGGATCGTACGTTGTCTGATGCTTTGATCGCCGTTTACGGAATACAAAGCATCCTTTGTTTGCCGTGCATTCTCAGGCATTCTTCCATGCGCCATCTTTGATTTTGTTGTGGGGTTGGGCCAGCTTTTCCGTTTGCTGGTTACATCCCACCCCTGTCCGGTGAGCGCATACTATGTCAATAGATTTCTGCGCCACCCCACTTTCAATTAAATGCAGTTTGAATTCACCTTGCTAGGCGAGCGTCGTTTACCGACTCAACCGCAGAGAATGAAAAAAGTCGACCATAGTATTTCGGGCTTGGGCTTCAGGTTTCGGGGTCTTTAGCATCACTTCAACCCAACTTCATCCTAGCTCCGCCCCTATATGAAGCGCTGAATATTGAAGACAGTCTTCCTGGCTCCTTGTTTGTGCCCATTTGGTCACAAATCTCTCAACAGCTTCATTTTCATCGGACAGGGGTCCAGGACAGGTTTGGGGGTTTCAGCTGTAGGGACTTGGAGATTTTAGGGGGTTGAGAGTTTTGGTGAAGTCCGAAACCCGCGAGCACTAGTTGAGCCCTTTCCCAAGCCGAAAAGCGCAGGGGCGCAGGAATGTCGATGCGGTCTGCTGCCAAATCACAAACACAAGAAGTGTACGATGCTCGAACCGATCATTTTCTCATGTTTGTGGACGGAGGGTCTGCTCGTGAGGGACAAGACATGGGACTTTTTCACGTTCAGCTTTCGAGTTTGGTCTGAAGGGGGATGGGTCCTCTGCAAGGAAGAATTGGGCACGATTACACGTAATGAAGGGGGCCCCGGCGTGTTCACGACCTTTCCTCTAGTCTCTGCCTTAAGCTACCAATACCTACTTTTTTGGTAGGGTCCTTCTAAATTCCAGATAAGGGTTTATAATCAGAACCTACAAAAAAGTAGGGTTTGGTAGTTGGTAATCATCTCCCTTCCCAACGCCAGATCCAGGCTTCCCGGCTCCAGGCGCAGGCTGATCCCTGGGATCTGAAAGCGCGTGCCCACCACGCCGCACTTGCCTCGACCAGGCACCGATGCTGTCACACTGTCTTCAAGAAAGGCGGAAAAGCTCGAAAAGCCTGAAAGCGCAGAATCGCTGATTCGAAGTACAAGCGATTCTCCCATCGTCGCAGAAAGGTCTTGCGGCACTGCTCACTGCAATGCTGCAAGTGCTGCACACATTCCCGGAAGCTGAGTCCTGTACCCTCTTCCTGGCGGCAGGAGTCAAGCCGGACAAGCCCACAGTTCACAAGTAGAGAAAGTGGTCCGCCTGAAGCTGATCATCCTCATCGGAGTTGCAGACAAAGAGCCTTCCCAGAGTCACGCGGAAAACTGCGACATTCAGCCCACGCCGAGACGATCAAAATTTCCCGGGAGCCTTCGGCCAAGGACCCGGAGCCCATATGGGCTGAAACTCCGGACCTGGATTTGGGCTTCGCTCTCTTGCTCCGCCTTTAAAATTAGAGGAACCCTAAAAGCAACGCTTAAGGGTTGGCTCCTTTAGCGGAACCCTGAAAGCAATCCTTATTGGAACCCTTAGGGGCCCTCGCGGTGTGAGGGCTGTTCGGGGCTCAAGGTTGCAGCAGGCGGTCTTGCGGCTCAAAAGAAGAGAGTCTTCGGACCTTGAGCATGCTGGGAGAAAGAAAGTGTTGGATGGGCTGATGCTGCTTTTAGGATGCTGGGTTTAGGAGTTTAGGATGCTAGAGTGCCAGAGGATGAAGGCGTGAGTGGTTTAAGGATTCAAGGAGTGGTCCTGTCACCGAGGCTCGGACAGACTTCTCTCGCAGAATGTGCTCATCAAGGAGCTTGCGGGGCACGTGCGGATCCGCAATGTCCTTATAAAACCACAAGTCACAAGAGTGTACTAGCCGACATCACGTCCAGATCAAGCAGAAACATAGTTCTTTAGGCAAGCAGCATCCGGACCTTCTGGTATCCCATCCTCTGGGTCGCCACCTGCAAGTGTACCCGTCATGGACATCACCACCGACAGCTACAAATAAACAACAGCCTTTCAGACACCCGCCTGGCAAGCGCATGGCTTCATTGAGCTGCGCCCTTGGCAACATGATCGCTGGACAGAGAATAGCAGAGTGGTGGCTACCGGCTCTTTAGAGCGGTTTTTACAAATGCTTCGGCCACCCGAGACATGTGGTGGTGTTACTGCATGCAGGCCGCCCTTCGGTGTCGGAGTAGAAGGCAGAATGCCATGCCACCTCGAGACAGGGATTTCTTTTGCAGTGTGTGGGACGAGCACTTTCCCCCAGCTGGACATCAACTATTCATCTGCATCTACTACGGACTGCAACTTGCGACATCAAAAGCACCATCTCTGACTCAGGAGTCTCAGCCGGCAGCCCGTTGGAGCATGACGCTGCTGTGCATGGCGTGCCGCCGCGGGCCACGCAATGCGAAACTATATTCGACGATGATGTGCGACTGAGGCTGGATGCTGCAGGACACCGCAGGAAGTCTCAGAACAGCGGCCCTGGGGTTCTAGCCAAGGGCCTCTCTGTGCTGCTACCAGTACCATGGTGAAGCCGCAGAGGCAGCAGCATGAACGGCGGAATAACTGCAACATTGCAACATACCGTCATCCGTGGATGCCAGAGCCAGGATGCTGCGGCCTGCGCTTCTGCGCACGCATCATGACGTGTCCACTCAACTGCTTCGAGATGAGTCACAGGCACCACGGTCAATACTGGACACCGAGCCACCAGGCCACTAAGCCGAAGCACCCTAATCGCCCTGAGGAGCCCTGTTCCCTACTTGGAGGGGCAGGGGACTTCGTAAGCATGGTTATAAGTAGAGTTTTAAGTACTCTAAATGGAGTAACCCCAATCATAACCCTACTTATGAACCAATATTCCCTAGAAGCAGTAGAGTTTTAAGTACCCTAAATGGAGCTACCTCAATCATAACCCTACTTATAAACGGTTCCCCAGAAGCAGCAGGTCATCCCATGAGAGCCCCGAGCCCCAAAGCGGCCTCGTCTCAGATGTGCTCAGGCTCCTGGAGGCAAAATCTTATGGCACAGTCCCGAAAAAGCTTCTAGGGTTTATCGGGGTTTAGCGTTGAGGCTTTAGGATTTTAGGGGCTAAGGGGTTTAGGATTTTAGGGGTTTAGGGTTTAGGGTTTTAACTCGAAACGATTCCTCCTAAGCCTATGGCCTGCTTTGATGGATGGGAAACCCTGGTCTCCTTGGGCAGTCGAGCTCACATCCGAGTCCTCCACATCCTTCTCCTCTACACGCGGTCCGTCCTGGAGAAGGCCCCTTATGTTATGGGTTATAAGTATAGTTACCCTACTTGTGACCCTACTTATAACTACCCATGAATCTCCAAGTAGTCTTGCAACCGCAGAGTTTCGATTTTCGAGCTCCGAAAAACCTCATTACCTACCGCCGCAGGGTTCTGCTGGCAAGAGTTGGGCTGGCCAGCTGGCCGGCCTCTTGCAGGAGATCAACTTCGACGACGGTGGTGTAATGTCGCCGTGACCTTGCATCGGGAGTGGGTAGATTTCAGGCTCGACGCGTCCAGCAGAGTCCAGCACTTCTGTCTCGTGACGGGGTGGGCCCCACGGATGCTGGGAATGCCATTTCCACCCTCCCGCACTGACGCCCTGGCGAGGTGTCACTTTGACCAGCCTGCAAGCAGAAAGCGGTCAGCGCAGAATTTTGGCTTTGTCGTGACAGCATCGTTTGGCAGACCCGGTCAGTTCAAGCCAAGGCAGCTACCCGTAGAAGCACATGCAGCAGAATTGCAATGGCATGAATGACAGGACATGTTGCGGGCAAATGTAAAGGAGGATTTACGAAGCAACATAGATGCTTCGGATGCGTTCTGGGCAGTGAAGATAACCACAAGCGCTATACTGTGCACCAGCGTCGCATGGCCTCGATTTAGACCCACTCCCCCTCTGGACACCTGCATCGTCACTCTGCGGTCTCGCTTGGGCCGCTGTCGGTGCTCCTGCACGGAAACAGGGTGCAGGCTTGAAATCAAAGCTGAAACCGCAAAGCCTGAAGTTCGCGATGCCAACAGCCACACGAGAGCAGCAAACAAACTGTGCCACATAGTCCGGTGCAGCATCCGCTCATGACTGATTTAGCATGCTAAGCCTGCTATGACAGGCATTACATAAAATGCCATCGGGTGCTTTGCAAATTAGCCAACCGGACACGTAGTCGCAGCAGTAGTAGTAGTAGTAGTAGTAGTAGTCGTGGTCGTTGTAGTCGTCGTAGTAGTAGTAGTCGTCGTCGCAGTAGCAGTCGCAGTAGTAGCACTACTACTACTACTACTACTACTACTACTACTACTACTACTACTACTACTACTACTACTACTACTTCTACTAGCCACCCCCCCCCTCCCAACTACACTTGTTCCATCCGGGCTGGGCAGAGGTAGCTGCTAGGCGCCTTAACTGCGATAGTTGCAGAAGATGCACGGGCTCAGGCTACTTATCTGTGACAGCTGCAGAAGTTGCAGAGGCTCAGTTTCCTTAACTGTCACAGCCGGTGAAGTTGCAGGGGCTCAGGCCCCAAAACTGCGACAGCAGCTGGAGTTGCAAGCTCGACGGGGAAGAAACTGATAAACCCCAGGTACGAAAACGCTATAAATGCCGTGCAAAACCCAGGTGCTGCCAAGAAGGCTTTAACATTTCTAAAACCTGAAGCGCAACATCTTCTAAACATCAAAAACAAAGATGCCAGCTGTACGTGGGAGGGGCTCGCCAACACCCCTACCGCCCAACCTCTGCGTAGGAGGGTCTGTTTTTGAAGTGGTGTGTATCGTGTGTGCGCGCTTGAGTGTGGAAATATTGTTCAGGGTGTCCACAAAACAGTGATCATCCCCGAAGAAGCCTTCCCCCACCCAATTTCGAGTTATTTTGCAAACAGCTCCAAACAGCAAAGTTTAATACGCATAGTCGAGAAGTAGGGGCTCAGAATATGTAACAAAGTCTGACATGACGAAAGCACCGTAAATACCGAGTGAAACGGCTCTTGTGGTGATACTGCTGGGTGTGTTCGCGTAACACCGTCGTCATCATCCCCCCCCACCCCCCCACCCACCCCCAGAAGCAAGTCCAAAATCAAGAGCCCGAGTTTGCAAACTCGACAAGTCGATTTTTAGGCCTCTTAGGATGATCGCACATGACGAAAGTGCCGTAAATACCGAGTAAAATGGATGTTGTCTTAACATGGTTGAGAGCAAGTGTAGTTGGTAGGGGGGGGGTGCCTACTACTACTACTACTACTACTACTACTACTACTACTACTACTACTACTACTACTACTACTACTACTACTACTACTACTACTACTACTATACACTACTACTACTACTACTACTACTACTACTACTACTACTACTACTACTACTACTACTACTACTACTACTACTACTACTACTACTACTACTACTACTACTAGCTACTACTACTACTACTACTACTACTACTACTACTACTACTACTACTACTACTACTACTACTACTACTCTTACTACTCTTACTACGACTACAACGACGACGACTACTACAACTGCCACCCCTACTAGCACTAGCACCAGCACGAGCACTAGCACGAGCACTACCACTCGCCCTACCACTTGCACTGGCACTCGTACTCGTACTAGTACTGCTACTAGTACTGGTACTAGTACTAGTACTAGTACTGCTAATGCTAGTAGTGCTGGTACTGGCACTTGTACTAGTACTGCTACTGCTACAAGTACTGGTACTGCTACGGGCACTGGTACTGGTACTATTACTAGTACTGGTACTACTGTAGTACTAGATGGGAGTTTCTGTGTTTTGCAGGTGCAAAGCGGCCGTGGAACTCCTGCGATCTGGCGGCCTCAGCCTGCGCAACTCAGGATTCCTCTTGTCCATCTTGTTGATTACGGGTTTAGGGTGTTTTGACGGTTCAGGGTTAAGGGTTTAAGGGTTTTTGGTTTGGGGTGTTATAAGGGCTGTGAACGGATTTCACGGGATTTGTTGAATGATTTTTGGGAGGTAGAAAGACAGCTGATGAAGCAGTCCTCTAGGGGCACGGCAAAAAGGAAGTCTGAGAAATTCAATCAGGCTCCAGTTCGTCGTTGGGAGACGTCTTGCCCGGCTTGCCGTCTGCCATGAGAACCGTATCCCCAGTTAACAACGTGATCACAGACAGGCCCGACAGGGTAACGGAAGCTCAGGCAGCGAACTCATGGAGCTTTGAACGGGCTCCGAGAGACTTGCGCACACAGCCCGTGTTTGAGATTGCTTTGATCGCTGTGCCTTCAGAATCGCCCAGTCCCAAGAACACCACCCTGCCCCAATCAAGCCAACCTTGGATACATGCAAAAGCAGTGTTCATGAACATGCATACACGAAAACACTTGACAACGATAGAAACTACAGCATATTTGCATTCATAGAGCGGCTAACAGCTGATGATAATGATGATAATGATAGCAAGGTCCCACCTGCAGCTGCTCGTTGTCAAACTGCAGCACCTTCCAGCCGTAGGACTCGCGAAGCACCGCACCGAAACCCTCCAAAACTCCACCGAATCAAGGCCAGAGGTCGAAGATACCCAGCCTTCAGCTTGCGCTCCGTTTCGATCAGCTTCTGCTCCAAGGCAGTCCTTTGGGAAGAGAGATAGAGAGCCGGAGTAAGTATAAGTACTACCCCCGACTAGTCCCCAAATACTTATTTTATTATAGCATGATATACCCCCATATCCCATTCTGATTGTTCAGGCCCCGATGTCATTTTCACATGTTATGTTTAGACAGGAATGTGGCGGGCAAAAGGCTCCGTCTTAGTGAAGTACCGCACACGGCACTAGGCCCAGGCATGGATGTAGTTCTCCCCGAAAACCCTGCGCAAGTTGGCAGAGTCTCGAAAGTACAACACCTCCAAGACAGTACAAGGAAATTGGATACAATCTGAAACTCCACCACAAGCAAACCTCAAAGAATCCTCTAAAGGAGCCCGTCAAGGAACAGTTGGAGAAGCCCTCACGTGCCTGTAAGACTGTACTTTCAACGAACCCTTAAACTAGGAGGTGCTTTTAAAGCCTTTGAAACATGTTAGTAGGTAAGATCCTCTTAAGCCCAATAGGAGCAAATATAAAATGTCCCAAAGCCCGACCTAGTAAAGGGAACATGAGCAGCCGGGCCCCCGACTTATCTCTGCCCAGGTTTCCCAGCTCAGACCTGGCGGCGGGTTGCGATTCTGCGTGCGCTTTGGGTTTAGGGGTTTAGGGGTTAGGGGTTTAGGTTTAGGGTTAGGGGTGTAGGGTTTGTTTTGGGGGGTTTGGGTTTAGGGATGTCTAGGGTCTGGGAGTACAAACAAGCTACTGTGAGGGTGGCCGTCGGGGTTACTGTAAGGGGGACGGCGGGCATCACTAAAAAAGGACTATAAAGGGTTTACCATAACGGCTACTACTTGGGCACCACAAGCGTCACTTTAAGGTGTGGTGGAACTGACTGCTCCCAGCGAAAAGCCATCACACTGAGTGTGAGAACGAGTGTAATCATCACTAGGACAGGACCGTAGTCATCAGAACCGTAACGCATGGAGTCCCCCTAGGCTATCTGAATCCTGGGCTGTTCTAGTTTCTGCTCGTATTAGTAGTATTTCTTGTTCTTTAATAGGACAAGCGATAGTAACACGAATGACCCAAACACTACTTAAAAAGACACCCGTAAAACTTAAGTAAAAAGAAGAATCGTCATAATAATTATAATCAATATTATCAACACTATCAATGTTATCAATACTATCAACATTATCAGTATCATAAGTTATAACACGAATAACACAAATAATGGGAGCTCGGATCCCAGCCTGAGGCTCTCTTCTGCCTTCTTCCGCTCGGAGTCGGCCTGCTCAGAGGAGGAGAGACCAAGGGTCCTCATGGGTTGCGCCAAGACTACGATCCCAGAGAGCCCAATACCCCGTAATTAAGGAATATGGCTTAAGTCATAATATGAAGCCCTGTAAAGTTTAAGACTACGAAATTTGGGGGATTTGGTTCAGGGTTTAGGATTTAAGGGGATTTGGGGATGAAGAGTTTAGAGAGTTAAGGGTACACCATTTAGGGCACTGGGGGATGTAGGGACAGGGTCCTTCGATGCTCTAAGAATACGATTTAGGAACGAATATGAGACTTCGGGGTTTCAAAGGGTTGCAAGAATGTGATAATTAATTAGGCGTGTTCATAATGCGATGTCAGGTGGTGAAGGGCCATTGGGGGCTACGGGTTTAGGATGGTAATGTATCTAGAGGCCACTGGGGACTGATCTCGGAGAAAGCAGTTTGGAGCAACCCTTTGCGTCGACAGTTCATAGAGGAGGGCAACTTCAAGGATCGTGGGACGTAGTAACTAGCGGTAGCGTGATTACTAAGGTAACTAATTATACTTATAAGTACTTATAACCCCAACTAAGATACTTGTAACCATACTTACTAAGCCCCATGATCCTCCAAGAAGTGGCAAGGGAAAGGCTGTCTTCCCTCGGAGCCTTTCGAAGGTGACGCTTGTCTTCCTCCTGCAGAGAAGGGTCTTGCGAGAGCAGAAATTCCCGGTCGAGAGCAAGCGCAGATTAGGGTTTCGGGTTTCGGGTTTAGGGTTTCGGGTTTGGGGTTTCGGGTTTAGGGTTTAGGGTTTAGGGTTAAAGGTTTAGTGTTTAGGGCTTAGAATTTTTTTTGCAGCTCAGAACAGACTGTACAACGGGTTTGCCAGCTCTACGACCATGCGTCGTGAAGCTGGTGAAGCTTCCATTCTGAAGACAGCATTGGTCTTCCGGCTTCAAGCTCTGAGGCTTAAGCTGCGAGAGGGCGACACGATGCCTGCTGCACAATGCAAGAAAACTCTCGGGTGACACGTCTTCGCCTCTTAGCTCTTCTTCAGCTGCCTGGCCGGAAAAGCGCAGTCAAAAGCGGGTGCAAAATGACTGTGGGCGCGAGCCTTCGGACCATCACGGCCGTGGCCTTAGGTTTCAAGGGCATCGCATTGGAGCTGAGCGATAGCGAAGGGGATCCAAACAGTCCAATACGGCACTCGTCATGGAGGCTTCAGACGGGAGCCCGATCCAAACTTAACACCATCCTCAATGAACCTTGCACTCCAACAACTGAAACACCAAACCACGAGTCACAAGAGTCCTGCATATGGATACCCTGAAGGTGTGAAGCCAGGAAGTCCTACTAATTGAAGCTTTGCTTACGTCCCCCTCGAAATCGGAAGATCACACCCGTTTACGACGGCAGTGGTGCAGGCAATCCCGGTTCGGGAGAATATAGCATGCTGACAGTGGGCATACACTTTTGGATTCGAAAAGCAGTGCTGCTCAAATCATCGAGGCTCTCAAATCCAAAACCCTGAAGTATCATCTGCAGAGTTTAGTAGGGGTCCGAATGCATAGAAAAGGGTTTTGGATCCGGTATGCTACAATTATCATAAGGACCCCCCAAAATAGTATAGGTAATTATTTTGGCCCATATAGTACAGTCCTATGTTCTTAAGTGCGACCAGCTCGCTGCAAGCACGGCGAGGCCAAGCCCAACAAGCGCGACGGTGCCTGATGCAGAGCAGACTACATTTGACTACATTCGGGCGCACCAGTTCCTTGACACTTTTCAAAGGCACGTCTCTCTGCGGAGGGTGCTTCATGACCCAAGGCGAACCAGAATGTAGGGTTACTTGGTGTAAAGCGCCACATGTTCCCGCTAGTTTGCTAGTGACACCCCGTCGACCACCCGTACTTGGAGGATCATGGGACTTAGTAACTAGAGATATTATTAAGGTAAACTATACTTATAATTACTATAGCCCCAATTAGGGTACCTATAACCATACTAAGTCCCATGATCCTCCAAGTAGCGATCCCAGGAGCCGCCTTTGAACCCAAACCTGGCTCCGGCCTCTGGAAGGGCTCCATGAGCTGCGCTTCTCCAGCCTCATGGCCGCCTGTTTTGAGGGCTTCGGGTCTTTACTTGGAGGATCATGGGGCTTAGTATGGCTATAAGTACCTTAGTTGGGGTTATAAGTAAGTATAAGTATAGTTACCCCAATAATAACCCTGGTTTCTAAGGGCCATGATCCTTTAAGTAGGGCTTTCTACATTCCAGGAGCTGGGGGAGTCTTCAGGAGGCTGCGACGAAAAGAGCATCGATTCAGACTCCTTGGCAAGAATCAGATGAGAAGCTACGGTAGCCCTATCCATATGCATATATATATATAGACACACGTAACACACGTTCCCAAAAACCAGCGTCATAAGAAGCCTCCCCCTGCATTGCCTTCAAGAAGGACGCTTCGAAGTCCTGAGGCTTCCGACCCCGATCGGAGTCCGGACAAGGAGGCAGCTCCTCCGCGTTTACGAAAGGGTTTAGGATTTAGAGGGTTAGAGGGTTTAAGGTAAATGATCGATTGTCCATGGGACCCGAGTTCCCAAGGAATGCGCACTTTCAGAAGTACGTATTCTAGAATATAATATGTTAACATAAAAACATTATTGTAGCCTATTATCATTGAGATATCGTATAGTATAGTATGTTGTCATTTCTGATCATCATAGTATGCTATCACAGATATATTGTATATCAGTGTATCGTATTCCTTTTCCATGAGCTAGGCTTAGGAAGCCCCGGGCTCCTTGATCAGGTACTGCCCGTCGCCTCCTCAGCTTGGGGCTTTGTTGGGCCTGGTGGTTCTGGCACAAACAACGGTGGAGGAGATAAGTCCTGGACCCTAATCTATGGTATTATGGGAGCTATGGTATATAGCTTATTATGGGTACTGCAGGATTGATACCATCAACAGTAATCACCTACGATGAGTGTTTTCATTGTGGAAAGACTTACTAATTATGAATAACACTGACTTACGATCATCATGATTTTTATGGAGACAACTACTGATTTGTTTCTAACACTAATAGTACTCTTACTGTACTAATACTAATCACTAGGGGCATCTTGACCGGAAGGGACACCAGGAATGCCGTTTCGATACAACTTCGGCCACAGATCGCGTTGGCAAAAGGAGCCGGACGCTGTCTTTTGCTGAGAGTCGAAGGCGGTAGCCCAGCTTCCGGTAGTAATTGCGCACACCTCGGGCGCTCAAAGAGTTTAGGGTTTAAAGGCAACCATATGAGTATGAGGAATCTTGAACAGATCTTCTCATAACCATAGCTCAACAGTTACACTGCAAGCGACTGGTACAACGGTCTGAGCTGAGAACCCACTCCAGCAATCACTGAGATCTTCTGGTAGCCATGAGCTGCAGCTATGAGCTCGGCGGTGCCCATGAGCGTCCTTCCGATTCCTTGGCATGCCGATCGCTGAATCCCAAATCCCCGGACTGGACGACTGGACTTGAGGTTTTGGGCTCAGTGCTTTGAACGCAAGGTTTTCTAGTACTTGCGGGCAGCTATGCTACGTCTTTCGTGTCGGTTTGTTCAATCTGATTAGACAAACATTTTGGTCAAGGCCGAGCATCCTATGTGCTGCGGCCGGTCGTCGCTTAAGCTGCGCGTAGACTCTTCGCGCCCCGCTGCGACGAGCGTGCCGTAGACGTGCAGCTCACGGATCAAGGCACAGCCGCCTAATTCCTCGCAGGGCAGGGGTAGGAACCAGTCGGGCCCGAAGCCTGACGCGAGACCAAACCTCCAACCGAAAGAGACCTGCATCCCAGGGTTTAGGGTTAAGGACTTTGGGTTTAGGGTTCAAGGTTAGAAAGCCCCACGTGGAAGAGCGCAAGTGCTCCTGGAAGACCGGACTTGGTGCTCGCGGGTCGTCGTTGAAGCGCAGACGCAGGAGGCCGTAGAGTGTGGTGTTCTCTTCGTCGGCATCCTATTTCGAGGATCATGGGACTTAGTAAGTATGGTTATAAGTAGCTTTGATTGGGGTTATAAGTAATGAAAAGTTATAGGCATAGTTACCCAAAACATAAATTACTAAGTCCCATGATCCTTGAAGTACTTGAAGCAGAGCTCCAGACCAGAACCGACAGAGAGGAGAAAAACAGCAGTGGAGGTAATAGCAGTAGCACAACAACTAGATCAGAAATGCAAGCAGTTAGAACGAAGAACAAGATGAAGACAGCAACGACGTCCACTTGAGATGGTGCCCGCCAGTATGTGCTACTTCTTGCCGCCTTCTAGACAATGACAGCTACGTTTGAAGGAAGGTCTGCTAGCATGTCAAGCCTGATCGACTTCGACCGCGGTTGGCTTCGGCGTCGCAGCTGCAGCAAGCGCGGCAGCTGCAGCCTCCGCTGCAAAGGGTGACGAAGAAGCACACCATGTGAAACCATATAATATCTACTTAGGGTCATCTCTAAACCCTCAGCCCTTGCACCCCGGTAAACCCCTAGAGACTCGTTTTCGTACTGGGTTCTTCTGGCCGCCTTCTTTCGCTCCTCACGAGTGCCGCCGGCGGCTGAGGCCGCCTTCGCCGCGGCCTCAAGGGGCTAGGCTTAGGCCGATACTTCATCGGTTTAGGTCTTTTTTTGTGTGTCGCCTCTTTTTCCTCCTGCCATCTCAGCTTCGGGTTAAGGATTTAGGGTCTACTTGGAGTGTAGGACTCGCTTGAGGCTGCTATAAATGTATACATCCTGTCAGTAAGACAGGATTTTACCAGGCTTGAAGAGTGTAGAGCTGATTGTTTGCTGGGTATATCTTTCCAACCCCTGGAGCACCACCTGTGCAATTGGCGTACACGCCGACAACCCACGCTCTATCCACGGAATCAACACCAAACCCATCGCGAAGATGCAGTGACAGACGAATCATGCCTCTTGCTGTTCACCGTGCACGAAGAGCTTCAAAGTGTGTCATCCTTCGCGCCTTCATCTCGGCCTGAGCATTCGCGTCGCGAAGTGCAGACTTCTTCTCCTTGCGCTCCTTCTTGGTGGCCTTCCAAGGTGGGATGAAGGTAAGTAAGATTCAGGATCCCTTATACAAGGACTCTTATTTTGCGATTACCCCCATATACCTTTATCCCACCCCTTTTAGCCCTTTGATTTTGCTGGCCTTCTGGCCACCTGCCAGGGCTCGCTGCGTGGCGCCGCCGCCGAAGCCCCGATGGCCGCCCTCGATGGAGATGAAGAACTCTGTGCCGCCTTGGCGCGGCTGAGAGCAAGTACAAAAGGACCCTGTGGGTTTAGGGTTTAGGGGTGGTTTAGGATTTAGGGTTTAGGTGTCAGGGTTTAGGGTTTTTGGATTCTTGACAATAGACTAGGGTATGGGGGTATAGTATAGTGCTCATTTTTGCTTTCCGGAACCCCCAAAAACAATACGAATAGTTATATGTAATTATTACGGATTGCTCGTTAGCCTGGTGATCTCTGAGACGACGAGTTGACTACCCAGTTCGTGGTGTGGACCTTGTGGTGTTAACTGCCTACCACTACTACTGTATGGCGACTGCCATGACTATCGCTTCACCACCTCCACGCTTCGCGCCACAACTGCCATTCCGACTACGCAACCATCGTTGCTAATATTGTCAGTGGAGGTTGCACGAGTTCCTGTCACTGCTATGCTTCCACCATTGAGGCCGAGTGGCTGGAAGATCGATACTCGCGAACCTCGAAAAAAGCAAGAAAGCATCGGTTCCACTCACAAACGACAGCAGAAGTAGCTCTAAAGTTGACTCTAAGGTCGCTTGTCCGTTGAGATGGTTCATACGAACCACATCAAACACCACCTTGTTTGGGGGCACATTAAACGGCTCCCAGTTAAAAGCTCGCAGTCTCTTGCTGTTTTGTAGAACCAAACCAATTTGAGACGACGCTTCCACAGACCGACAGCAAGAGACAGAAATGCGTCACCGGACGAGTGCAAGGTCTGCTACCCGAAGGATTAGCCCCGTAAGGCCACAGAGCGTAAGACAGGGCCTTGCTAATTAGAATAGGGTTTGGGGGCCCCTTGTAGTATAATATTGTCTGGTACTTTTAATCGCTGACAATTTCCGTCTTCTCGTCCCTACTTGAAGCTGCTTCCATGAAGGACACTTTGGGAAGCTACCGTGCACCAGAGATCCGATTTTGAACTTGCTGCGGGTCTCTTGCACCTGACACAAGACACATTGTGGTCTTCAAAGACCAAGGGAGGAGTTCCACCTTATGATTGCCTCATTGCTGTCTCTCTTCTGCCACCGGTTGCATTTTGATGATTGAAGGCCCCTTGGCCCCGGTCTGAGTGACTATGGGCGTGCAGAAGCTTACAGACCTTCATCAAGAGCCGACTTTGAGGGCTTGGCGCGAAGTCGGAGGCCATCTGTGGTCTCTGGCCAGTCTCGTACCTCTGGCACAGAAAACTGACATCAAGCGTTCTTCGCTCGGCGTAGTTTGCAGGCACTGTGCAGACAGAACTCATCAGTCATGATGAGGAGTGGTGCTGGTGGTGACGGGGGTGAGGGCGGCTGCGATGGTAGTCGTTCTGACAAAACCCACACTAATCGCACGGCATGCGATGCCTGAATCTTGAAGCCATAGACTGTGAAGACAAGCTGAAAGCTCGCGGACAACACTCGGATTCGCCTAGACTCTGTTTTGTAGAATCAGCCACGGGTCACCTCTCGGCAGCGGATGCATCGGCAACACTGGCCGCGCGACTTGAGCACCTCCTGGGCTAAACCACTGTGCTCTAACTGCCCCAGCATGATCAGCATGTAGGTTTCTTTGGGCTTTAAAGCTTCGAGGGCTTCCGAGAGAAAAGCCGGTAGAGACGGAGATCGAGTGCAGACCCGCTACTGAACTCGACCCTCGATGCAGGGTCAGGGTCTAAGGGAGACTGCACCTAAACCCTAAACTGTGCCGACCACAAGGCTTCCTATCCAACGTGCTTCAAAAAACAAAGTGGGGTTCTTCTCAAGGTCCAAGTAGGTATCTGAACCCTATAAGCCCTGAACCCGAAGGCCCTACATTGGCCCTAAACCCCAAAGAGAGACCTGACTTTTTTCAACACCACTCTGCAGACCCAGGAGCGAAAATGGCCTGCCGGAGGTTCGTGATCGAGTTCCCGGCAACGATCGACACCTGGGAGCGTAAGACGGCTCTCCGGGTACCTGGAGTAGGGCTTAGGGTTGGGGTTTTGGGTTTGAGGTCTAGGTTTTAGGGTGGGTATCTTCAGTAGGGGATCCTTATGATGGGAATCGGAAACAGAATCCTATTTCGTGGGTTTCTACCGTGGTGCCATCTGTTTTCTGAAACTCCCGCCTGCACCCGGGCAACATTTCGGCAAGTGGACGAAACCCTCCGAACTCGCACAAATATCCTCAACCTGGAGGTTTAACCCCACTGCGACACACACACACACACACACGTATGTATATATACATATACATATACATACATGTATATATATATATACATATATGAATTACTTAGCTTGTATGTGTCTATACATTTATTCAAGTTAGTCTTCTTATTACTGTTGAAGTCAGCTGAGGGGCCTCCGGAATGTCTCTGATCACTCCTGAGATGGACCAGGGGCAGTTTCTGGACTTCTACGGAAGAATCGAAACATCAAAGTGGTAATACTTGGAGGAGCTTTTGGGACTTAGTAAGGGTCTTAACGGGCTCCTTAAAGGGATCTATAGGGTTCCTTGAAGGGATCTATGGGGTTTAGGGTTTAAGGTCTTGGAGGGGCAGGGGACTTGGTAAGTAGGTTATAAATGGGGTTATAATTGGGGTATCTCCATTAGAAACATCAAAGTGGTAATATGTTCTGTTCCTAATTCATGGTTGGGAAAGGATTAAAAATGTACATGTTTATTCCTTAGTGGTTTGAGTACCCATGAACATGTAAAATGTTACCCAACTATGACAAAGTGTTCGTAGCAGTGTCAGGAGTATTGGTGTTCTTCTTCTGATTTTGATAACCATGACGTCAATGACAAAGATAATGATGATAATCTGGTGTGCTCCTTTCCGCCAAGTCGCGATTCAGCCGGATCCAGGGGTGCACCTGTGCCTGCACCCGGAGTTCGCATGCAATCAAACTGAGGGCAGGAACATGGCTCTGCACATTTCAGAGGCCCGCCATCCAGGAGTGAAGAGCACAGCTTTCTGCATGCTAAGTGCATGTCCCCCGCAAGAAACAGTAGGAGCCCTTCAACGAAATAGTATTGGTTCTTATTAAGGCCGCTATACTAGCAAATGCCTTGACCCTGGCCAACAGCTCTGTGAGCAGCCGCGGATCTTTCTGCGTGTAGGGAACGTACTTCCCTTCCTTGTACCAAGTCCTCGGGCCCCACCGTTTAGGGTTTGGGGTTTAGGGTTTTGGGAGATTTAGGATTTGGGGTTTTGGGTTTAGGTTCAGGGGAGCCCTTCATCGGAAGTCCACAAGGCAAGCGTGCAGAGATTCACATCGGCGCATCGCAAGCAAAGGAATGACAAGGGCTAGCTTTCAGCTGAGGCGCTCAATCCGTGTGAACGGAGTGACTTCCTTAGCATGCAGCTGCTCCTCCAGCCCTTGCAAGGTCCCAAATGGCTCCTCCGCTTCTGAAACAGGACAGCACTCGGCTGCCATCCTTGCCCGTGCCCTCTATTAAACTCTAGCATGCTACAGGCTTTGGTTGCTAGTTATGAGCCGGAACTCACCAGCAACCCGGACCAAATGTAGCCAACCAACCACCCCATAGATATCAGGTCGCCTGCAGCCTACATATGACACATCAACATGCTAAGATGCTTCCAGGCGGCGCAAGGATAGATTTTCCAGTGATCTGCCTGGAGATCCTCTCCATGCAGCACCTTCAAAAACACTCTTCAAGCTTCTGTAACGGTAACGCGACATTCCCTCCCCCTAACGTGCACCTTGGACCTGCCTACGTTGCTCAACCGGGTATGTTGCTCAAAGACCGACTCATGGCAACTCAGCATGTGCAACGACGAGCAGAAGTAGCAGCTGTAGTTGGCATGTCGTTGGATCAACAAACAAGGATACCACTAGAACATCCAATATGACCCCGACGAACTACCTCGATGGGCCTCTGCTGATACGATGTAAACAACCATGTTCTCTCGTAGTCACAGTTGTTATGTTCTGTTGCTGCGATGATGCTCTTTACGGCTACGGCCGCTATGTTGCTCCAATTATGTACTGCCATTGCCGCCACCACTACAAGCACAACCAAGTAACCATACAACCGTTACCACTGCCACTACTCCCCTTCTACTGCTACTGCTTCTGCTGCTACTGCGACGACACTGATTTTGCGGATGACAGCACTTGTAAATTGTAATAACTACATCTATATACATATATACATATATATATATATATAGAATTTATATTTATATTTATGTATGTATGTATGTATATATCTATATATACACATGTATTTATATAGGTCGATAGATAGATAAATAAATATTCATAAATGCATGATTCCTCGGCCCCGGCACATCCTGGAACATGGCCCAATCCTTCTCCGTGTCGGAGCCGGGAAGATCCGGCCTCCATGGGCCCAGAGAGCCCTTAAGAGAGCACTTAAGGGGTACATACCTTAGAAGTTTAGGGGTTTAGGGATTTAGGGAAAGTTTAGGGGTTAGGGTCTTAGGCTTAGGGCCCTTCAGCAGTACATACCTTGAACTGCGGCTTAGAGATCACGGTTTAGGACTCCTCCTTCTGGCTGTTACACGTAATCCAGGGTTCTTGGCTCTCTGGCGAAGCACCAAACCTCGGAGTATGGCACGACCAGCCTAGAAGCCTACCGCAGCCAGGTCGCATGAGGTGGATATCCACCTTGAAACCGCAAGTCTTCAGCAAGCGAGTGGCCCGGACTGCCTGGCACTGCCATGCAGCAAAAAAACAATTTCTGCCGCTGTTCCGAAAGCGTTCGCGAGCTGATACTGCTTGACAAGCGGCTATGTCTTGCTCTTCACCTACTTCCCAGATTCTACACGTTAACAAATCCACATCTATGCGCCAGCAGCCCCTACAAGTCGGACGTAAAACGATCATCATGGCTTCCACGGCCGACAGTTCAGGTGAGCCTTAAGCCTGAAAGTGACAGCAGCTCAAAAATCTGACAGGTTTTTGCAGAACATTATTCTGCAACCATAGTAGGAAGCCTAAGAGCCACAATAAGATGCCTAAGTGACAGCAGCGGATATCGGATAGCATTCTTAATGGGAAGTAGCAAAACGCAAGTCCGGTCCCAGCTGCTGCGGCTCGGTCATGCCCTCGATTGATGTACGCGAGGATCGCGTCGTCAGTGTGCTGCACGCCGATCTGAACCTAGGTTGGCCCTTTAAAGCCTCTGAAAAATACTCGTAAATAGGGTTCTATTGAGCCCAATATAAGGGAAAATATAAAATCTCCTAAAGGCCTACAGAGGAACCCGTGTGCAACCATAGCGCCTCAAGCGGCGAACTTCCGCCGGGGTGATATGGTCCGGCCGGGTTTCCAAGGTAAGGCCGATGATCTTTGTGACGGCCCTCTCGTTGATGTGCTGCTCTTCGAGCAAAGGCCGACGCTCTCGGATCCTGGCTGCGTTCTCCCCTTTCTCGCCCAGCTGGCTTAACTGCTCGTCAAAGGTGTTGGCAGCATAGAAAAGATCTCTGCAGAACTCCTCCTGGTAGTCTCTGGGATAGTGCGACCAGGTGCCCCCAAGCACGATAATCTCCACCTTGTCCACCGTGTGACCCTGCTTCGCAAGAGTGCCGGCCCTATCATAGAACTGTCGCACCGGGCAGAACTCGTTCTGATTAGCTCTCGCAACCGCAGGTTCTGTGCTCAAGTAGGACCTAGGCTGGCCGGGCTCGTCAGGGCAGTAGTAGCAGTCGTTGGGACATGAAAACCTGCCGGGAGCCGTAACTATCGTAATGACCACCACCCCAGAGTTCGAGCGCACAGCTTTCTTCGTCGTAGCTTTTTCGAAGAAGGGGTTTCGCTCGATGCGCCCGGCATCTCGTAGCCTGTAGTAGGCCCGGACTATCTGCGGCTTAGACAGCGTGGTCTTAAACTGCCGCCGAACCGCCTGGATGCGGCTCTCGTACTCTTTCTCTGATTTGAACTCCGGGCCCGAAAGCAGCGCCAGAACAAACTGCTCGAAAGCTTCCAGATCCTCCTCACTGTGGGGCTGGGCGTGATATGACATCCACTCCTCGCAGCCCTGCTCGAAAGCCCTGAGGTGCTTGTCAGCAGCTTCAGAAGTCGTAACCACTTCCTTGCTGGGCACCATGTACATCTTGCCAAGGCGGGCTGTGAGGTGGTCATCCTCAACCGCCACCATCGTGCGCACGCGGGGCGAGGGCCCCTCGGAGAAGGCTACGTGTGGTCTCACAGGAAGCTTAACTAAAATCTCCACTCCCTACATGTAGCAGTTCGACTCATGGCCAGCTAGGCCCCGGCAGGTGTGCTTGCATGTACCATCATCATGTTGGAACAGACTTTCAGCTTCGTCGCGTGAAGAGGCACAGGTTGCCAAGTTCAGCGTTTCGGGCTTGGGGTTTGGCTTATTGTTTAGGGCGAAGGGCTTAGAGGCGAACGGCCACCTTGTCACCGGCAGTTGATGTATACCCGTCCCGCAGCCCGAGATATTCTAGAGTCGAACCACATTTTGCAGAATATCTCTCGCTGCAAAAAGATTACTGCAGGCATACCTTGGCCAGGCTTCCGAGACAGATTGCAAACGTGATTGCTATGGGTGCCAATATTTAGCTATTCCAAGTTTGAGAATGTCCAAATTACGCTACTACTATCATGAATCAAGGTATCGCACTATCATTATCTATGTTCTCATTAATTTCTTATTTATCTTCCTACTGCCGTCGCTAGTTCATTGATATCATGCCCCGGACACTCCCGTCCAGCTGGGCATTCTTGGATCGCAGCTCCGCCAGCTCTCCCTGGAGGGATTCCATCAAAGAGGTCTTGCCCTGCAAGAGACTGCATCCGGATTTCAGGGAGGCTTCGGACTCTGGGGCTGAATACTATACATCTCTATCTATCCGTCTACCGATCTATCTATCTATCTATCTGTCTGTCTATCTAGCAGCTATCTATCTACCTATCTTTACATATACATATACACATACACATATACACCTATACGCTTCTATGCATATATACATATGCATATACAATATGCACATATACATATATACAAGTACAAACTCATACACAGAGACATAGACATATACATATTATGTATATGTCTATGTCTCTCTCTGTGCACGTCTACCGGCCTTGCGCCTGAAGAATGCCAGGTTCCGACCCATGCCATAGAGTCCCACAACTCAACCATTGTGGTGATAACAACAGTGATACTGATAGCAATAATAATGACAATAATAATACACGCAAATCACTAAATACCTAAATGAATAATGATGGCAATTATACTAATAATACGTACTGTAATAATGACAGTGCTAGGAGCTGCTGGGATCTGTGGGAGCTGGTTCCATGATGCTTGAGATCCCATGGTTCGGTGTCTAACATTGAGTTTCCTTTCCCCAGAAAGTGCTCTGGAATTGAATTCAATGGGCACCTATGACCGCGGCGCCTGCATGTCGAGGAGCCGCTGTTGCAGGCTCTGCCGCTCTTGCGCGGAACGCTGCACCTCATGCACATTTTTGGCTCAGTGCCGCGGAAGCTTTCACAACAACTGCGACTTCTGCCAGGTGCTGGAGCCGAGGCCGCGATATCTGTAGAAGAAAATCTGGATGACTTGCAGAATCGGGTACGTTCTGCGGCACTGCGTGTACACCCCAGAACCACAAGCGTGTCCACTTCCCTGAAAGGTCAAAACATGTAAAACCTCCTGCACTGCTTTTGGTTCGAACGTCTTACTCACGCCCTTTTAAGGGCATGTGCCATGTAAGCATAGAATCAGGGGCGCTGGCTATCAGCATGTCCATCCTTCTTCCCTACTGAACCTACCAGACCCCCACCGTGCGACCTGATCCTTGCTTCTACCATTGCTGGCTACGAAAAGAGGCACGGTAGACTAGGTGAGACAAACCAGGTTGCGAGCGTAGGATCTCAGAAAATTGCAGGCTTGGGCTGGCGTCAGTGATTGGTCCATGACCTCCTCTAGCATAACTATACTACCTATGCTATCTCATACTTCCTTGCCTGTGGGATCCTTGACTGGATGATCCGGCTAGCTATTCGGTGTGAATTCCGGGTTGCAAACCCTTGCTTCGGGTATGCTGTCTTTCGAATTAACGGTACACCGCGTGGGACACACATCTTCGTCACTCTGCTACCTCAGGATCCGAGTCTGGAAATTTATCAAGGTTAGATCATGGGGATATGTCCACGGGTGCAAATGAAAATTCAGTTTGCCAGGCTCAGAAGTCTGAGTCAAGTAGACACAAATATGACCAGCTTTGGATCAACTGTCTCCGCTGCCGCCACTGTCATCACTGCCACCCGAGTTGGCCCCAGACAGTCCAGAAAGCAAGCTGGAGCCTCCGTCACCCTTCTTCTTGCGCCTCTTCCCGCCCATCTTTTTAGCCGTGCTCATGAACAACTTCTCCAGACGGTCAAACCTTGCATGTAAGATGCAGGCTCTCAGGGCTATCTGAACGATCTTGCAAAAAACTTTGGAAACCCCCGCAGGTGGTGGCCACGGTTCTCTCCCACCTGTTTTCAAATCATTTGAACCCCGGAGCCTGTCTTCCATGGAGTCATCCTCCTCTGGCCATGGCATTGTCGTTGCACTCGAACCTCCAAATCGCCGGATGGAGTCTTCGGTGACGATGTGCGAAGAGGCTGGCTCTACAATCCTAGTTCATGGCTGGGATAGTAGTAAAAAAAACTGCATGTTTTTATTCCTTATTGGGTTTAAATACCCAAAACATGAAAACTGTTACCCAACTATGACAAAGTATCTGAACTCCACCAGGCAGGCCCACATCACCCTCGTTGAACTCCAGCCGGTCGTTCAGCTTGAGGCCTGCGCGGGTAACAATAGGGGCCTTAATAGTTAGAGTAGGGTTCCTTTACAGGGGTCCTTTAGGGGTTACTACAAGGGATCTATAAAGGTACCAGAATGTAGGGGAATTAATCATCAGGGTCCTTTAAGGGTTACTGTATGGGATCTACAGTGGCACCATAATGCGGGGGCCTTAGTAATTAGAACAGGGTATTGGGGTATATCATACTATAATTATGATAAGGAACCCCCAAAATAGTATTGGTAATTATTTAGGCCCCTATGGTACCCTCCTTCATGCTTCTGCTTGTCCGTCGAACGTGATGTAGGGGCCTTAAGAATTAGAATCGGGTTTCGGGGTGATAGTACTATAGGAACCCAAAGCGATGATGTGGGCAATTATCTCGGCTTCTATATTATGTGAAATGCGTCAGGCTAAGGATGCTCAAATTTAGCAGAGGATGCGGTCGGAGCCGGGGGCTGTTTCCTGTGCTCTGTGCGTCAGAGAGCGCTACAAGCACTGTAACATGAAGACTCCTTCGCCGTCCGTCTACAGTAGTCTAATGAAACAGAAGCCACCAAGTCCAAAGCCTCATCTTCCTGCTCCTCCTCCTGTCGCTGCTGAACCTACTACATGGTAGTTTCCGAAATTAGGGGTACCTTAATTTTGGTTCCTTATACTAAGGATCCTGCTTTTATTTAGGGTACTATATTAGGGTCCCCTATTTCGGAAATTCCCACATGACGGCAACGACACCACTATCTTTAAACTACGACGACACGGCCGCCAATGTCTCACTACAGGCTGGGGCTGTGAAGCTGTCGCAACCCGTTGAACCGTAAGGAATTTGTGCACTGACCTCTCTGGCTGTCTTTCAAGAGATTGGTCGGAACCAACACGCAGCATGAAGGTCTGGAGGATATGTCACGGCTGGTCGAGCATTGGGTGCCCCTGGTTTCATTGCAACCGCCCCGACCGCCTCGCTACGGGTGAACTCGCTGGCGTTAGTGCAATGGCAACTCTTGTAGCAACCCCTCGAGTAACTCTACAAATGACCTGTCCAGCCTTTCAAGAATCTGGCCCATCGCTTGTTAGAGATCTGCTCCAACGTGCTAACCTCAGAACAGAAGCGTGTCCGCAAATCATGAACGACGTGCAGATGCATGTGGGGCCGCTTATGTGTAAGCAGCCTTCGTTTCGGCCACTGCCGTCGTTTTGCGAGGATGACCATGATTCTAATGGCTTCACTGTTTATGAGCATATGATCTGATAGCGAGGATTCCGCACCTGTGTGGCTGAAGCTGTCTTACTGTTTCCACTGAGCAAGTCCTTGTTGCTACAGCTGCTGCGGTCCGAGTAGTGTGGCCGACATCATTGTGATCGTTGCTATGCTGGTTTCAAGGCTTTGGCTATGAGCCCCTTGAGGATCACAAGGATGGCGTAGTGGCGGTGGCGGTGGTGGTGGTGGTGATGATGATGATGACGATGACGATGTCGACGATGGTGATGACTGACTGACTGACCGACTGACCGACTGACTGACTCATTACGGCGATGATTTTTAAATACCCGGACATCTAAACAAGTTAAACAGGTGTGTCATACTACTTCCGTGGGCATTGTCTCTGGGCCGCCCAATTTTAAAACACACGGAAAGACAACAACACGAGACTCCAGCCCGCAGACTCCGTCCTCCAACCTTCGCCTCTCCAGCCCTCTTCCCAGCCCTTCAGCCCTCCAGCCTTCCAGCCTTCCAACCCCTCCTGCCATCCAGCCAGCCTTCCAGCAGCCTTCCAGCCTTCCAGTTTCAGCCCCTCCAGCCTTCCAGCCCCTCCAGCCTTCCACCCTTCCAGCGCCTCCATCCAGCCTTCCAGCCCCGCCAGCCTTCCAACCTTCCAACCTTCTAGCCTTCCAACCCTCCAGCCATCCAGCCTTCCAGCCCCTCCAGCCATCCGCCTCCACTTCATTCGCAGCGCCACACTGCGCAAGTGCCCCGTACCTTGCAAAATATGCCTGAGAATGACGGGCTGGAAGGCTGGAAGGCTGGAGGGCTGGAAGGCTGGAAGGCCGGAGGGCTGAAGGCTGGAAGGCTGGAAGGCTGGAAGGCTGGAAGGCTGGAAGGCTGGAAGGCTGGAAGGCTGGAGGGCTGGACTGGAGGCTGGAAGGCTGGAAGGCTGGAGGGCTGGAAGGCTGGAAGGCTGGAAGGCTGGAAGGCTGGAAGGCTGGAAGGCTGGAAGGCTGGAAAGGCTGGAAGGCTGGAAGGCTGCTGGAAGGCTGGAAGGCTGGAAGGCTGGAAGGCTGGAAGGCTGGAAGGCTGGAAGGCTGGAAAGGCTGGAAGGCTGGAGGG